TTGTGTGGTGGCACCCCCTGCTTAGCCCTCGTGAGTGGACACATCCCGTGGGTTTAGCCTTTAGCTTTTTGCTTGGTAGTTTGGGGCGCCAGTTAGCAGTACCCTGCTTGGAATAACCCTTAGCAGACCCAGTCTAGGGGCCTTGGAAAACCCTGTGGGGGCTCTCGTGTCCGATGGAGGAGACCCTTGTGTCCCCCTCTCGCTTTGTGCGAGGTTGAGGGTTGCTCTGTCCCTTTGTCTCAGGGTGACACTCATTGTTTTTGCTTCCTCTGCTTCCGGCCCCGAGTGCTTCGGGGTCGGGGCGGGGTTTAGAGGTTTCTGAGACTCGGGCAGTTTCGGGGGTTGCCCCGTCCAGGATGGCTGCGGAGGCATTCGAGTCTGTTCCTCCTACCGATGCTCCGGGGTCTGACCAGTGGGCCTCTTCCCTTCCGGCTCTTTCGACTGCCCCGGCTTTTTCTTGAGGCTGGGGCTTTGGAAGACGACTCGGGCCTGGTGTAGAGGCTCCCGGGGTTGGGGAGGAGCTGACTTGGGGGCCTTGGGCTCCTTTGAACCCCACTTGGATTTTCCGTCCTTCGGAGCAGGGCTTACTGTTGCAAGGAGTGGGTTTCCCCCCCCCCCCTCTGCATACGATTTGGACTTGGGTTCTGCTCTTCCCTGGGTTCGATTCCGTGTCCGTGTGGATTCTTTGGTTCCGTCTTTCCGGAGGTTTTCGGCTTCCCACATCTCTCCGCGTGAGGTGTGGTTGGCCATCGCAGCTTAACTTCTGCGTGACCCGGAGTGCGCCTCCATAATGGATACTTCTTTGGTCAGGTTTGGAGCGTCATGTCCTTACTGGCTGCATTATGAGGTTCCGGGGTCGTCCTGGCTTGCACACTGCTCCTTGTTCTCACTGGATGCTTGGGACTCATTCTGTTGGACCCGCACGTTTGAGTGGCGCGAGGCGTTGCCGGTGGTCTAGGTTTACCTGGGGGCGATTTTGAGCTTCTTAATGGGTGTCTTTTCACTCCTGCCCTTTTGCGGGATGTTGGTGCAGTACAGCTCAATGTGCAGGTTCCTTCCCTGTTGGCTGCACTTGTGGCTAAGGACTTCCATGCTCGTGGCTTTTTGGCTTCGGTCCTGCGTTTCTTTTCCCTCCTGGAGCTGTCTTCGGATTGACTTGCGGAGGATGTAGAGGCGCTTGGAGCCATTCCGGGGTTTGGCGCCTTGGTCTCGGTTGCTCGGCTGTCATCTGCCATGTTAAAGCTGTTTGCGCCGATCCTGCGGGAGGCGTTGCTGTGGTTTTTTGCTGCGCGTTTCGTGTGTCGACAGGCGGTCTTTGCTTCCTCCTTGAAGTCTGCTTGGGCCCTGGTTCTTAGGTTGACTTCTCCCTTTTGTCCTCTGCTTTTTGAGGCTTCTGTGGTTGAGCGTTATATTCAAGCGGCTTCTACCACTTGCCGCCCTATGTCTGAGTTGATGGTGCTCCGGAGGAACCAGGGGGTTCCTTTCCGGCGGGGTCATGCCAGGGCTTGCGGTTCCGTTCATCAGGGTAGGCCACAGGTGTCGAGTTTGGCGCCAGTGCCGCCTGCACTCCCGCCTGTGCCTGGTCGGCGCTGTGTTCGCTCTTCGCGCAGGTCGTATTCTCGTAAGGGGCAGCGGCCCTTTTGCGGTTCGCCCCATTGACGGGGTGATGGGGGGAGAGGCTTGCTCTGTTCGCTTCTGCCTGGTCTCACGATTTATGGGCATTTTGGGGCGTTTCTCGCGGCCTGCGGTAGCGTTGGGTGGCTCCTCCTCCTTCGGGGGATTCGGGGCTGACGGGGCAGGCTTCCCCTCCTGCGCTCTGTCGGGTCATCTTGGAGTGGGTGCGCTTGGGCATGGTTGAAAGAACGATGTCCCTCAGGTGGGTTTCCCGCCTGTTGCCATTTCCGAAACGGGACTGTGCGAACCTGCGGTTCATTCTGGACTTGTCCCGTCTGATCCCTTGGGTTTCTTGCCCCTCGTTTCGGATGACCACTCTGTCCCAGGTCTGGTTTCTGTTGGAGCCGGGCGCTTGGATGGTGTCCCTGGAACTCAAGGACACGTATTGGCACGTCCCTATTCATCTGGGGTTCAGGGACTTGCTTGGTTTTGTTGTGGGGTGTCAGTGCTACTGCTTTCGTTGTCTCCCTTTCAGGTTGAATCTGGCACCTTGCGTGTTCACACGCCTTACCCGGGTCGTGGTGGCCCGTCTGAGTCTGTTGGGTGTTCGGGTGTTGGCTTACCTCGACAACTGGCTGGTTTGGGCTCCCAGTCGGTCTGTGTGTCTGCTCTTCAGGGTTTTGGTACTTTCCCACCTTTCCCTTTTTCCTTTGTAGTCTTTGGTGAAGTAGCTCCGGGTAGCCGTAGGGGCTCCCCCCAGAAAACCAGCATTAAATGTAATGAAAAGCTATTTTCTGGCTGAGTCCCGGAGGCTCCTGGCAACACTCCCTTCCTCCAGTTGGCGTTTTTTTCGTGATTTGTTATATCTAGCCTCAGAACTGGGACGGTGATCGCCTGCGCGAGGGTCTGGGGTCTGGGGGTGTGGGGGGGGGGAGCTGTGCAGACATGCGTCACGGCTCGTGTGACGTCATGCTTGTTTGCTCGTTTTTCTTTTGGGGAGTTCTGTCCACTCGTTTTACGATTTTCGTTGTTAACCAGAATAGGGGTTTGTTTTGTGGCGCTTACCTTTCTGGGTGCCTGTCCCGGTCGATGGCAGATATGGAATGCTCCAAATCACATGTGCATTTCTATGGGCCATTGCTCCATAGAAATGCATTGTGAGGGGGGGGGGGACCAGGTTGTGGCTCGTGGTCCCCGGTAGGGTAGAACTCTAACCACATTGACTGATGCAAAATACTTAGGGGTATCTATATCAGCCATGGATAACTCTGGGGAGCCTCTGGGACTCGCCCAGAATATCGCGTTTCATTACATTCAACGCTGGGTTTTTCCCCCACATTATTCTATCTTTTTGTAATTGTTACTCTATATGATGTTAAGAAACATGTATATATATCAGGCCTATGTACATACATGTTTTAGATTAAAATTATATACTGTACTGTATTACAATATAGTCATGCCCACTTTAAATTTTGAATCTTTTTGCACACTTCTCATTGCTTCACATATCCAACAATTCTGTTTCCTAACATGTGTGTGTACCCACAGATATTTTCTTTTACCTGCAGCTGGTGACATAATGAGCAATCATTTTCAGTTATTAATGTCCCTTTCCTTCGATACTCTATTATACACAAAATTCAACACTGTAAATATGTGGACGTGTTGATGAAGGTAGGAGATAGTTGCATCTGGAGGGATTGTCTCAGAAGTCAATATCATTGTTTTAATAAGACTAGTTTTCGGTTTGTGTCACCTAATTTATGCAGTACATTGTGCAGTACTGTGTATCATCATCATCATCGGGGTGGCGAAAAAAAAAGTCTTGTTCACAAGTGTCAGCCTTATGCTGGAATATCTTCCTCACTCATTCAGTCTAGGGTTACGTCACCAGGGGCCATGAAATAGCCAAGTGTGGGGAGAAAATGCCATGTGGAAACAAACATTTGTGAAGAATGTTTGCTTACAAGAAGTGTAGAAAATCAAATGATACACTTGTATACTTCAGTGTTACCTTGATGTGGTTCCGAGGATCAATGTCCCTGTGGTCCAGTTTCTAACCAGGCCTCGTTGTCTGTAGTCGAATCGACCAGGCTGTTAGGTGCAAATGCTTGCAGTCTTAACGTATAGACGTTTATCAAGATCCCTTTAGAAGACTGAAAGAGGTTAGCTAGTTATTTCTAACTAGTGTTAAAAAGTATTTGACTCTTAATGTTTGTAGAATTGTCTATTAGTGTATCAATTACACATTTACTTTTAGAACCTGTTTTTCGTTCTGTCCTGCCTCCTGGTCTTGTTAGGAATTATTCCAGTGCTTGGATTTGAAACAAGTTCCCCTTATATCTTCGAAGTTTAAATTATTATGCATCTCTTGCCTGGGCTATAATGTGTACAATTCCCAATAATTTAGATGTTTTATTGAATGGATTTGGGCAATGAAATTTATCCGCATGTTGTCCAGGTCATCAACTTCAATGACTTTGATAGGGCTGCTAGTGAGCAATAGTATTCCACTCTTGACACACTAGTGTCTGAAAAAGTACCTTCATTGGCTTGGCATCTTTTGTTTGAAAGGGTCTTCTTACCCATGAAATATTCTTGTTATCCAGCCTGTCGGTTTACTTGCTTGGAGGGGTAAGGAGGTAAACTGCTGCATTCCCAGTGATTAAAATATTATCTACATTAAAGTTTATGGTCACAGTGTTCTTCTCAACATCATTATTAGTAAGGTTATTGTTCTGTGACTGATTGTCTGGCTTGTAAATATTGTACTTAATTCTTACCCCTGAACTATGGATGGCTAATTTCCTATTGCTGGGATCCTACTCCTAAAGTAAGCGATACAATTTAAGGTTTAGGACATGTAATCGAGGCTTCAACAGTTGCATTTTATGTATTGATTCTTGGCAAAGACTGATAAGCTAATACTAAAATTGAGCTAAAGCATGTATTTGTGCATACATTTGGCACGGTTTTAGAAATTTAGTGTAGAATGTCCAACATGGGCTACTTTATCCAGAAATAGCCATCAAATTCACATCCTCTCTGGTTAGCTACCTAGCAGGCAGACAAGGTTTATTCACATTGAATCAATGTGCAGCATAACTACAACACATTAGTTCTGCAGGATACATTCTACACAAAAAGTCGCTTTGGTTTCAAATTGGTTTGACGATTAAATCTAATTCTTTTGTAACCTTTATTATTTGCCATCTAAATTATATTTTCTTGATTTCTTCAGTTTACATTTTTCTTTAAAGCATTTTAAATAAATTTTACTCTTTTCTTCACACAATAGCTTCCCTCCCCAAAACTGTACTGTTCAGTTATGTACATTATACATGTCCAGTTTGATCTATTTTTTCCCGTTTCCTCCATGCCAGCCGGGCTTACCAGATCACAAGAAGCAAGAGTTGCAAGCTAATTTGCACCAACCTCTCCAGCGGCGTCAGACTACTGAAGACTCTGACTACGATGATGACGTTCATTATGACCAGGGCCGCATTGACACCAAGAAGGGTGTGGAGGTGAGCTTTGATGATACTGTGCACTGGAATGAAAAATCAACGTCACAGTACATCACTTGTGATTTTTAATGACGTACATATATAACCCGAAGGTTTATAATTACCATAGCGGTCTCGTGTCAAGAATTGCGGGTTTGATCTTGGAGACAAATGGGGGTAGATGGATGGGGTGAATTCTATTTGCATTGTGTGCAGAGTTGGTCAGTTCCCGCCAAACACACACCGATACTACGACATTGGTACAACGTTCGAACAAGTTTTAACACCTCCTAACCAGTTATAACAACCAATATGGCAACTTGTAACAACGTTCTAATACGTCATAAACACGTTAAGCCAAAATGTAACAACTTTATTACAAGTTGTAACAAGCGGAAATAGACAGTTACGGTTTGTGTTTCCAGGGTTACTGTTGAGATTTGGAACTAAGGTAACTATTCTCAACTGAGAAGTACCACCTTATAAAATGTATATTAAATGTAGATATTATATCACATCAATGTTCAGGTTTTAATAATAATAATAATAATAATAATAATAATAATAATAATAACAATAATAATAATAGTAATAATAATAGTAATAATAATAATAATTATATAATAAAGAGTACATTAGGCATTTAAAAGTAATTACATAATAGGGAAAGTAATTGTTTATTATATAAAGCCACTTGTTCTTTTAAATATACTGTACTAGCACACAACTATGATATGAAATGTGACAATTTTATTTATTAATTTCAATTGACTTGCAAGATTAGGAAATGACTGTAGTTAAAATTGTTGAATTGCTTTACTGTAATGCACAATGAATCGTAATATCCTTTTATACGTTTTGTTTTCAAATAGATTGATCGTGCAAGTGCTGGTGCAATCAGACGTACTAAAGCAGAGAAACAGGAGGATACTGAGGAAGAAGATGAATTTGGCTACACAGCAAGTGAGTGTTAAATTGTCTTGTGTACAGTATTGTTCCATTGTAGTTCTTTAGTAGTTCAGCGAAGAGGAGAAATTTAAGGGTATTGTCCCTTTTTCTCAGATGTTTGGGGATTCTGAAGCTCAAATGTCAAGCCTGGGTATGAATGGCTATGTAATGATAATTTTGGTAATTTAAAAAATATTTAGGTTTTTATCAATTTAGTTGCTGGCAAGCAATGATTAGGAGTGGTCCTGTTTACATTCTGTCCAACAGATAGAGGGTCCAGATGAATCTCGTGCAGCAGTCATTCCACTTGTTTATAAAAATATAAAACTTCACATATAACTCACAGCTGATGACTGAGCTTTTCTAAAGCAAATGTATATCTATCTTGTTTGTTACTTTGGTTACAATCTAGAACTGCATGTTACAGAAAGTTATCTGTAACTATGTGGGTTTACATTATATGTATTGAATAACACTTTGTTATCAGTAGCTTTTTATTTACAAACTGCTTAAATTGTTGAAGTGTGAAGGCACTACGGGCTCACCATAGCCTGTGCTACTTGGAACTTTTTGTTCCAAGTAGCGAATCTTTAACAAACAACAACATGTTGAAGTGACTGTTTTGGTTGTCAAGCTATTGCCAACAACAAAAAAATCCATAATTGTTTGTATTTTGGATAATAAGGTTGTTAAATTGCTATCGTCATACAATGAAAATATCCATCATTTGTTGCATGTGGCTCCTCTGGTTTGGTTCTTCATTCTAGTGGGAGGGAGAAGCCTAGTGTGGGATAGGCAGCTTGTGGACATTTTTTATTTTATTTTATTTATATATACAAGTTCTATTCTTGTAAAGCCACTAGCATGCATAGCATTTTGGGCAGGTCCATGATTCTAATTGTCCCCGATATCCAACCCGCCAAATCGTTTAACAACTGGGTAACTATTCACTGCTGGGTGAACAGAGGCGTACAATTAAAGATTGGTGCCCAGTCAATCCTCTCCAGCCAGGATATAATCCCAGGTCAAACTGCTCACAAAGCACTGTGCTAGTATTTTACCACTGCACCACGGGGATTGCCAGTGTATATTGTATGATGATGTAATTGTATTATACAATGACATGGTATAATACACACAGACTGGCCCCATCTCTATTGTGTTGGAGAGGTTTGGGTTGATCCAAACCGAACTCGGTTACAGAAATGAGTTGGGTGGATTAAAATCTTTTGTCACTAGGTATGTGTGTGTGTGTGTGTGGTGGCCCTGTCTTCAATTTTGTGAGACAATGTGAGATATGTCCATGGATGAGAATCCCGAATTAGAGGCGAGTATAATACAGTATTTCGTGATAAGTCTCATTTGTGAGCTTTAAAAAGTTAATCACCCTGTTACAGCCTGCTTGAGCCAGTAACCAGGTGCTTTCTGCATAATGTGCCTTAGAGCTGCCGCCTCTTCTATGATCCCACCCCCAAGTCGATGGTAATTTCTCAAGAATTGGTGGTAGCAAGTAATTGTGCAAGGAATAAAGGCGGTTAAACAAGACACAATTACATCTTCAATATATTATCTATCGAAGTATAACTACACTTAAGTACACAGGGTTGCTTTCACCCAGGACAGCCAATATATTATATCTGCAGTGTTCTTCAAATTCCGGTGAGTCCACTATCTTCAAGTATACATTGTCTACGTTCAATGGCAATCACTGGCGAGTTCATCTTCCTCGACATGGGCGAGTCTACATACCGTATCGTCACGATGTCCCCATTACCACACATCTGCTCTCCAGAAACACACTGGCATAGGGCTTCAGCAACACGCTGACAGGGGTCACAAATAATCACTTCCAGCAATCTCTAACACCCTAGCAGAAGTCTCTAGCAACACATTAGCAGCACTTCTCAGCAGACGGCCACTACTGTTGTCTTGTAACTCCTCTTTGCCAAATCCCAGGTACTTCAGTCCACACAACACTGCCGAAGTACAACAGCCATCACACTACTTACTACCGATGGTGGCCACTTGTCCTCACAGGAAACAAGTCAGGAGTTCTGGACTGCCCAAGGTGAACTGATTTTCACAGTGCAATAGACTCGTGTCACTTCTGTGAATATAAGTCATTAACCAGATAGAAAGTATACAGGGAGAACATAGGATGGCAACCTTTCACCAAGAAACTGTGAAATGTAGTCGGATGCACAATCTAGATGGCATTGATACCGTTACGTCACTCACCAGAGGTCATCATCATCAACCTCACCTCCTGACTGAGGTATGAAACAGGAGCCTTTCACAGATGCCACACCTCCGCCAACAGATGCCATTGTCTTCATCTCACATAATGCCTTGGAGTGTGAGTGTAGGTCCATAGATGGCACCGAAATCGCCACACCTCGCTCCATAGAAAGCGTTGATATCATAACACATCCCTTGGCATCTAGGTGATGCATTTTCATCATAAAAAATCAAATTTCATAAAAAAAAATTTGCAACATAATTTGCATGTCTGGTAAAGGGAATGGTGTTTTCAATATCTATGCATAGCATGTTAATCAAAGAATTTTATATGATAGTTTTTCTGTGAAGCCTTATGATAAGGCAGTGTATTTGGTTCCTCTTTGAAATAGCCACCATTTACTGTAGATTTTTCTGGGGTGACAAAATCCTGTCAAAGTTGTTTCGAAGATAAAATTCTTAAAAAAAAGGTTTTGGTACTGTGACTTGCATTCTCTCTCTAGTGTTCCCTTTGAAACTCATGGGTACCATCATGTGTATTGGCACAAGACTGTGGGGTTAACTTCATGATGTCGACACAGTCGGTGTTCGGCATAGTAAGGTCACACTGCCCTGGGGCCAGATTCACGAAAACACTTATGCAAGCAGTTACGAACGTGTACATCTTTCCTCAATCTTTGACAGCTTTGCTTACATTTATTAAACAGTTTACAAGCTTGAAAACTTCCCACTCGACTGTTGTTTTTGTTACAAACAGCCTCCTGGTGCTTCGGAGCTCATTAACTGTTTAATAATTGGAAACAAAGCCGCCAAAGATTGAGAAAAGATGTACAGGTTCGTAAGTGCTTGCGTAAGTGCTTTCGTGAATCTGGCACTTGGAGGATATTTGCTTCTGTTACATGTTTGTGGGAAGAATGATTTTTAACGACAACCTGAAAGGTTTGAATTGTTTTGGCAGTTTTCTAGGAAGCATAAAAATTTGCTATCTGATCAGTCATTTGTGATGCCAGGGAAAAACTGAGAATGGCTTTTGAGTTTATGAATGAGCTGCTGCTGCTGGTAATTCTAGGTTAAACTGAATGTCCTCCAATGACTTCCCAGCTCCTTAATTACCATGCAGGCTTTTCATCTTCATAGGATCCCACCTTATGCTACTAACTTGCACAGTATCTTGCACTACCCACTATCAGGGGATGGTACTGTTTGTCTAATTATCACATTCCCCCCCCCTCCCCCCAATAAAATAATATAAAGACTTACTACTGCAATCAATCAACAATGGGAGTGCACACTGGAGAGTCTCCCTGTATTCGTCTTACGTATGGAGAAATGGCTCAACGTCATCTTATTTGGGGAATCTGCTTAAATCTGGCCTATTGGTTACGAGTACACACCTCGCTGAGCCACTGAGACTTACCCCACTCTCTCTTTAGTTGGGATGATCTCCTCCTAGTTCCCCATTATATTATTATATCTGCTGTAGATCAGTCTGCAATTGTTTCTCTCTCTCTCTTTCTAGAAATTTCTCACCAGGACAAGTGCAAAAGCAAGTTGTCTATAGACAAATATTTATTAACAAAAATACAAAGAATAAAGAAATAGCAGCATATTATCATCAGGTTCCACAAACTAACATCATGCTTATATAATACCAATGCTCCAACAATACAGTACACGAGGATGCTGCTTTACTACTTCAACAGCAACCTCTTGCCCCCTCTCACTGTCTGGGCTAGGCAACTCGCATATAAATTAATACAGACAAGAAAATACTAAACGCTCTCGCCTTGTACTGCGTCATTCACAACATAAGAATTCATGCACTCCCTCAAACAACAATGCTGTCCATATAATTCTCTGTTTAACTCCCTGAGGCCCACCACTAAGACCTTCCATCAATGGGTCCTCAAATCAGGTAGGCACTCTTGCAGTGTCTTCAATAGTCTTCAATAATGCTGCTACTCAGTCCCACTTTGTACATGTGAAGTTCCTCTACACGGTTTCACCATAAACGTGTAGTTCCACTACACACTTGGAGATCCACCATATAATCTTCTCCAGACACGAAGCTTATACAAGAATTTGCCCATACACAAACCTGTTATTTTCTTTACTATACCTATACCATAATAACATATTCTCCAATCAAAACATAAATAACATATACAGTGGTACCTTCGTTTATGATTCTAATCCGTTCCCAGAGATGCGTCGTACACCAAAAATTTGTAAACCAAAATGAATTTTCCCATCAAAAACAATGTAAATTGAATTAATCCGTTCCACACCCCCAAAAATATTAACTTAAAAATACATTTTACATCACATACCACACATTTTGGACCACAATACATTATGTATATCTTACCTTTAATGAAGACACTTGTTGGCGTATGAAAAACGCCAACAAGTGCAAAAGTGCCTCCCCACCCCTCCTCATTTTGAGGAGGGGTGGTGTTGGTGTTTGGAAGGGGAATTCCCTTCCATTATAACATCAAGCAGCAATGACTTTTCTGGGGTACTCTCTCCTACGTTTTACAAGCATACCACTAGGACCTGGTTGTGGCTCACTACTTGTTTGTCTCACTAAAAAACCTGTCTATTGACACTTGTTTTTCCCTACATTGTAACGCTTGTCTAAAGTGAGACATCACAGTCATTAAAAAGTTTAACACAATGGTCTGCTACAGCTTGATTTAGGGGACACTTTTCAGCAAAACTTTGCAGTTCTTCCCATACTGCACACATTTTCTTAATTAATGAGGAAGGGACATCCTTTACTGCCTCCTCCTTCCCTGAAGAA